ATTCCCCAGCCAGCCATGCTGGGTGGGGAATTCTGGGAGTTGAAGTCCACACATCTTCAAGCTGCCACGGTTGAGAAACACTGATCTAGAACATCAGTAACAGTATCATATGCAACGCATTATTTAATCTCCCGATGTACAGAGAACAGCTCACAGCATTCCCACCCACAAGGCCTGCTGCAAAAGCATGCTTGGGTGCCCTTTCTTGGTGACCTTCAGGATACATATCATTGGGGTCACTATGTCAGTCATTTGCATAATGACATCATTGCACAAATGATGTTAATTGGCGTGGAGTCCATTGCATTGAGGTCCATTAAATCAAATGGTGACCCCATCTTTTCATCCTTGAATTCAGGTTCTATTTCGGGCAGAGACTGTCTTACTGCCAGCAAGTCAGTCTCTGAGGTTTGATTATTTCTGAAAAGAGAAGGAATGCTATCCTGGGGTGGTTACCTTGAAAGACTGTCAGTAAAGGAAGGGCTTAAGGTGGGCCCCATTCTTGTACGGGGAAACCCTGTATTTTTTTCATTTGCCAAAAAGCTGTTGCATTGGATGCTGAATCATTCCCAATTTTTCTGCTCCGCAGTTGGCGTTGTCTGTGCTGCACCAGGCGTGGAAGGCGCATGGTGGCGGGCACAAGTGGTTGGCTACTTCAAAGATACCAGTGAAGTGGAAATCAGATATGTGGATTATGGTGGATATGAACGAGTCAAGATTGACACGCTTAGACAAATCAGGTGAGGTAACCAGGAGTTCCTCCCCAAGAGGGTGGAATCCTGAATTCTATGAACGTTGAAATGTTGGCATGAATACGTAGGTTCAGGGTGGGCATCCAGAGCCACAAGGAGAGCCCTTCCGGCTTTTCCCAGCTGACCAATGAGAAAACAACTACCTCGGCCTCATCAGCCAGGTAATCATCTCGTTGGCTGGTACAGGCAAAATTGCTAGCAATCTTAGCAGCAGCAAAGCCTCTGTCTTCTAGGAGATCCAAAAGATCTTGTTTTCATTTCCTTCTCAGCCACCAGATTTGAGCAGGATCATTGGGAGTCAGACGGACTTGGTTTGTCAGCCCCTTCCAGATCCTCCACTTGCAACTGGGGCTTCTTGCATATGAACACCAGTGGTCTGGAAGAAGCAGCTGGAAAGGGTGATTCCAACACAGTGTAGCAGTTAAAGTGCTGGCTTGGCTGGGTGGGTAGTTTGGTGGAACCGTCTCTGCAGTTACGTGATTCAGATTCAGGCGCTTCACAACCGGCAGGCGTTTATGACTGTCACAGCACCCTGCAGTCACCTGATCGCCATTTGCGTTTCACAGCTGGCTCCCGATAAGCAGAGTCAATGGAGAAGCCAGCAGTAAAATTGCAAGTCATGATCACATGATGTCTCACTTAATGATCGCAGCAGAAGTGAGGTTGTAAGCCCATCGCAGTCATGTGATGTCTTGCTTAACAGCTGTGTTGCTTAGTGATGGAGTTGCTGGTCCCCGTTGTGGTCACTAAGTGAGGACTACCTGTATGTATTGTTACGTATGTATGTATTAATGGTGTATTGTATTTTTAAATTCTGTGACTTGGTCTTGGACCATAAATGAACAGATAAATAAGTAAATAAATTCCAGCTTAATCATGCTAGGTATAAGTTGATCTTGAAAATTGCTTGGCGGGCTTTCAGAATTCTGTTACATTGTTGTATTAGCAATAAGGATCTTTCCTGCAGGACAAGAGGTTCTTGAGTTGGGTAGCCACACGCAGAGCCATAGGTAGTCAGAGGAGCAAGTTTAAGGCTGCACTTAACCAAGAGCTCACTTGAGCCGGTCACTGTCACAGGTTGTTTGTTGTGGGCATAAAAGTAAGGAACATACTCATGGCAGCCATAAATAGATACGTCTTGTGGCTTCTGTTTCCTTCCCAAGAAGACAGAGGTCTGGCTTGCTTCAATGCGTTGGACTAAGCATGCTTTAATTTAGAGCCAGGTGGGGAATGGGACAAAAGAGAGGGTTGGACATTTGTGAGTGTATGAATGGATGCATATGACTCTTTGGTAGGTGCACATTTGTGACTTGTGGCTAGTAAATGATACATGCCTGGGGCCCAAAGTTGCCATTCCAGATAGAGGGGAAGAACTGCTATAGCTTAAGAGTGCACTTTAGTTTAAGTCTTGGATTACCCATAAGCCCAGTTTGTCTCAGAGGCTGGTTTCCCTTGTGCAAACCCAGCCATTGCTTTAGAGTTGTGAATGGACGCTTCTGCTCCATAGCCCTCAATGTGCCTTTGTTTTCACCACCCATAAAAGGGGGATGATAGAATGCTTGAAACAGTTCTTGGATAGAGTCACTATAATCACCCAGAGGTACTATAATCTGTGGGTGATACTGTAATCACCCACAGATATACCTGGGTAGGAGCCTGGACAACCAGGTGGCCCTTGGGGGGATCTTGTGTCCCTCCTCCTTCTAAGCCAGAGGTCCCCAAACTCTTCAGCTTATTGACCCCTTCATGAAGTGTCAGATTGTTCATTGACCCCCAAACATTTATTATATAGAAATAATTTAATAAATACTACTTTAACTAATAGTGCTACGAATAATAACAACAACAACATTGATCCCTTGGACAGTCCCATCAATCCTTGGAGGTCAATATTGACCACTTTGGGGAACCCTGGTCTAAGCCTACTATGTTGCTGCCACAGATTTTCTTATTTTCTGTCAAAGGGAGCCAGAGAGAAGGACGTTTTAGGTCTCAGATTGTCAGCCTACACCAGTGTTTCTCAACCTTGGGGACTTTAAGATGCGTGGACTTCAACTCCCAGAATTCCCCAGCCAGCATGGCTGGCTGGGGGATTCTGAGAGGAGAGAAGGACGTTTTAGGTCTCAGATTGTCAGCCTACACCAGTATTTCTCAACCTTGGGGACTTTAAGATGCGTGGACTTCAACTCCCAGAATTCCCCCGCCAGCATGGCTGGCTGGGGGATTCTGAGAGTTAAAGTCCACCCATTTTAAAGTCCCCACGGTTGAGAAACACTGACCTACACATTTCTAAGGTGTCTGTATGTTCTTTTAATTAATCTCCTGATTTTTTTTTTTTTTTTTTTTTTTTTTAAGATCTGACTTTGTTACACTGCCATTCCAAGGAGCTGAGGTCCTTTTGGACAACGTGGTGCCGCTTCCGGGTAATACCACGTGGAAACATATGAGAGATGTGTATATCTTTGGGTTTGGATTTTATTATTGTGATGTGTTCCTTGTTGAGAAGAGCAAGGTGAACGTGAAAGTCTGGCAGATGTTTTCAGACTGTCCATCTTGCAGTAAGATCTCTGAACAGAAGAATGTTGCTGTGGTGGTGTTTCTATATAACGCTAAGCCGGATTTGTTTGCCCCGTGTGAAAGACGATTTTCCCAAAGCATATCCACTTCTTCCTGCCTGCAAGGCGAACTTGGGGGTTGGGCAGGACAGCATTCAGACATGCAGGTAGAAGAAGTGAGAAAGCCACAGGAGAAGAAGTCCTTTTTAAGGTGACTGTACATCTGTTCCCCGTTTATTTATTAATTAACTAGTTTTACGAGGCTGCCCAACTATGTGAATCTGGGCAGCATACGACAACAAAAAACAAACAACAAATCAAAACAACCCCACATAACTTTAAAACATACATAATATATAAATACAGGATACCAAAGTTAAAATGGCGGCCAAGCGCCATAAGCCAACAGCTGAAAGGCGGCTCCAGTCATCTAGCTGATCAATAAATGGCATTGGCGGAAAATGATGGGAAGGGGTTGAGTTCAGATTCTGCTCAGGATTAATCTCTGACTTGGGAACTTACCATATATACTTGAGAATCAGCTGAGAAGTTTAGGTGCCAAAATATACCCCCAAATTGGGTTTCCAATTTGGCTTATCCGTGGATGGGCTTATCCACAAGGATATACGGTAATACTTTTTTAAAGTACCCGCATCTACTCGCGTGTAAGTCCATCTGTGTATGAGCCAATCCTTGAATTTTTAACCAAAATACCATGAAAATCAGGTTACTCACAGATAAGCGAATTGTGAAAATTAAAACATGAACATTTCGAGGGTCGGCTTATTCACAGATGGGCTTACGCACAAGTATATACAGTACTGTGTTCTCAGTGCAACACCTTTTCTGCAGGGAAAATGTACTTTTGCTGCTTTGGAGATTTTCATGCTCAATTATAATTTGGGCAATTTTTTAAAGCCACTTCTTTCTTGCTCCTGTCCTTCAGGAAAAGGCAGGAATAACTCAGTGAAAAGGTTCAGGAAAGCTTCTGTAGTGCTTAATTTTGTTCTGGATTCAGGGACCCCTTTGAATACTTATTCTTTCTCTTCCCTCATTTCTCTTAAAGATGATGATCACTTTTCATCTGAAGCTGACACGGCTGTTAGTGAAATGACCAGGGGCACACCCTTACTTGCACAGGTATGTGTAACAGTTGCAAGTGGCTTGCTTATAGCGGCTTTGTTTTGATTAAACCTGGGAAAAAGCTGGATTTGTGGTCAAAAGTTCTTTTTCCTCCCATTAAAAAGGGGGGAACTGAGTGTCAAACAGGTGGGAAATGGTAGTTCTGTAGACTCCAAATTTCCTGATTTCTCAGTGATCAAGCCTGATGTTCAGCAACATTTGGCAGGCCACAGATTCTTCAAGCCTGTCCTTGGCTTGTTCAAACTCGGTTTGATGTTTATAAGCTATCCTTCACAAACTAGGTTATCTGTTGGGGGGAACCACCATTCTCACCTGGCTTGGCTATTGGAAGTGGCCCCAGGGCAAGAAAATGGGGTTTGGCCTTCCTTTTTTGCAATTGTAAATGGTAAAGAATTGTGTGGAAAATCAGCCATTTTCCCTCCCATCCAGAAGCATATCCAGAATTCTAGGTAAGATTGTAAATATGGCTGTCAGACAAGACGTTTCTTAGTTTGGGGTGTGGGAACAGGTCAGGCCAGGCCATCTGTGAGTGTAACTAAGAATAAGGAGTAGAGTTATCCAAAACACTTCAGATTCAGAAAATTTTTACTCCGAAAGAATGGTTTCAGAATCAAAACAGGTTGCTCCAGCGGCACCAGAAGTATTCCAACACTGCCTCCGTCATCTCAATCATCTCTTCATCTGACCTGAAATGGCCCTGCTTTGAATTTGTCACAAGTTGGGGGGATGTTTCAACCTGAAAACACTTCTGGGATGAACAGGATATTATTGAAACACATTCAAAACTGAGTATTTCAGGCTCAAAAGAGACCATTCCTAATTTAGGGCATTTTCAGCGTGGCTAATAAGAAGTTAAGTTGAAATAACATAACTTATATGTGCTGCTAAAATATAGCTGGTGGGGATGACCTCTTCTGCTGGGTGCTCAGTACGTGCTCTGAATGTCCCATTTAATTCCGAGCCATTTTTGACTTTTCAGGGCAACATTGAACTCCTAATACTTCTGGATATTAAGCGCTAGGCAAATTGTCGTCCAGAGCCTGGTGAAAAGATTTTAGTGACCTCGTTAGTGACAGTCTAGGAAGATTGGAGATCCATTGCAACCTGTCTAACAATGCTTAAGGGGACAGCCATGCATTCTCTGATGATAAGTTTTAATAGATTTCTCTGTTTGCAGGTTACAGGTTATGACAATGCAACAGGCTTGCCACTAATACAACTGTGGAGCATGATAGGAGATGAGGTATGTGGACTATCAAATGGATTTCGGGAGAACGGTGTCCTTAATGTGTCACGGTGATCCCAGAATCGAATCATCAGTGCATGACTTGGGTGATTTGAACAGAAAGCAGGGTGTACCCTTCGTAAAATATGTGTTTTAGTACATTCTTAGTAGGCTGCTGTTCTTTGGCGGTTTTGTGTAAATATAGAAAGAAGCAACAGCTAGGCTTTGCATTTCAGAGAGATGTTGGGTCTTGGTTGAATGTCCTGACTGCTCTTGGTTAGCCTTCTTCCAATCCTCTGTGGTCCAGGTAGACAGCACCAACCTTTCTCTGCAGTCTGCAATCCAGCTTGTTTGGGGGACAGATGGACTCCTCCTTAGTTGCATCTCTTTTGGTGTACAGCAACAGAGTCTATAAGCCCGTTCACAGGACATGCCAAGACCTGGGCAAGGTTCTTATCCATGCAACTGGCACCAGACACTATGGGAAAACTACGCCAGCTTTGTTTCACTCTTCAGGATCCCAGCTGCTTTGGTGGAGCCTGGCTGATACTTTCTTGGGTTTCTTTCCTATTTCATTTTTGCAAAATATTAGAGAAACGAAAGCAACAGGGGTGGCCCAATTGGAACAAAACCTTGTTTGTGTCTCCAGTTCTTGCACACACATACAAATATCCATCTGCCCTGCACGCCAGGAACGATAGAAAGTCAGCAGCTAGAACAACCCATTTTGCGTTTCTTCAAATTCCTCTCTGTCCAAAAGCTACAAAAAAAAGCCATAAATTAATTCTTCATCAGGATCTACAACGATAAGCCTTTCTGTTCTTCCTCCAAATGGAGCATGTTTGGCAGAAATTGAGTGGCAATATCCAGATTTTAGAATCTCCCGCAAAGGAGATCAGTTTTTCCAAGTGAGGGTTTCTCTAACCCTAACTTGATGGACTTTCATCAAGAGGCAAAATCTTTATTTACAGTGAGATTATTTCTTGAGCTGATGACTTATTCTTGAGTGAAACCAGCTGCTGTGTGCAACAACTGGATTTTTGGATGGTTTGGTAGCATGTTAGTGTTGGCTGCCTTGGGAACTTTTATTGCAACAGATAAATGTAGTAATATTTTTTTTTAAATTAGCATTATTCCCTAACAGAAGAACATGTCAATTAAGCATAGGAAGGGGACCTTTTTATTTGAATTAGAAATGCTTTGTTTAAAATATAAACTTCACATTTTATGTACTGAATTTATATACATGTAGTCCTCATTTAACATCCACAATTGCAATGCAGTCATTAAACAAGTGACATGTCACTTTTCCCTGCAGTTGTTAAGTGAATCACCATGGTTGTTAAATGAGTCATCCCATGACTGAGACTTGGGATCTCCTGTCAGCTTCCCCACTGATTTTGCTTGTCAGAAGCCAGTTGTGAGGTCACAGATTGTGACCATGGGACGCTGTGACCGTTGTAAAAACACACCAATTGCAAAGCACCCAAATGGTGATCATGTGACTGCAGGGACACTGCGACCATCATAAAAGCACACCAGTTGCAAAGCGCCCAAATGGCGATATGACTGCGGGGACGTTGCGACGGCCTCAAGTTTGAGGACCGGTCGTAAACCTATTTTTTCAGTGCTGTCATAATTTTGAACAGTCGCCTGACTGAGTGGTCAGTAAGCAAGGACTACCTGTACTGTCTTTCTACTTAAGACAGCTAATACACGCACACAATTTAAATACTAGCCCAATTAGACAGACTATGGGCAGTACACACAAAAGAGAATATCTCAAAAACAGTTTGAAAAGTATCTTCAATAATTATAATCAGAAATCGCCCTGGGATCCAAAGATCTATTAAAGATAAAATGGTTTTAAGGGTTTTCCTGAATGAGAGGCATGCAGATGCCAGTCAAACCACAGGGCAGTGTCTTCTATAGTGTGAGGGCTATGACTGACAAGGCCATTGTTCATTGACTCACATGAGGGTGGGATCTTTAGCATGCCTTCCCTGGATGTTTGGACCAGATGGGCAGAATCACGTTGGACAAGGTGATTGAAACAATTATTCAATTACAACAACAAAAAAAGATCAAACTGAATAGCTGAACCCACTGGAAGAGGAAATTATACATAATTAAAACCAGCCCTCTACTAGCTTCAAAGTGAATTCTGCAGCAGCTCAGCTTAAATGCAGAAAGCCAGCCAGAATTTTTTTTAAATGTTGCCTACTGCCAGAAGGGCAGTCACAGTGGAAACTCACCTGATGCTACTTGGCAGAGAGTTTCAGAATATGGCATTGAAGGAGGAGAGCTGTGCTAGTCTACACTAGCAAACAATCAGAATCTTTTTCCAGCTAACAAATTTTATTAAAATGTAGAATCATACAGCGATCGTAATCTGTGGATTTGGACTTCAATTACCAGCCACTTTTAAGCTGGTTGGAAGATTTTTTAAATGCTTTAATTAAGGATTGCAATCTTAATGTAACCTATGACTTTCAGTAAACCTACAAATACGTATTTGTCTCTTTTTTTTCCTTAATGCTAATATAGAGAGGGGGAAAAAAGATACAAAAAACAAAGAAAAAGAAGAAAAAGACAAAAAATGTATATTTTTAAAAACTTCAGTTTTTAAACCAAGCATTTAACCTTGACCACAGGGAATAAGTTTTTTCGTTACGTCAATAAAGAACAAATTTTGCAGAAAGCAAACACACATAATCAGTTCTATATATTCAGTGACACTGTTTTTCTGTTGTAAAGTATCATTTTTTGTGCTGTTCCCCATGCTTGATATGTATCCGTAATTCTATATTGTTAAGATTTTTTATTTGAAATCACATTTGCATCTTCAAACATATTCTTCTTCCCAAAACCCTTAGCTGTTGATTCAGTTATTCAGGATCTTTCAGCCCTTTGTTCCACAGTTCTTGGATACGCATCTGAAAAATATTCCTTAATTATATAAAAATAAACAGTAGAGTTAGAATAATCCAAAACAACTGTCATTTTGGTAGTAATTCAGGAATTTTTGATGGGTAATGACCAAAATCTGAAATTAAAAGATCTTTCAAGTGGATATATTACCCTTCTACTGTTTTAAATAATCCAAAGACCTCAAATGTTTTAAACACTTGATTAGCAATAAGCTGATCCAAAGTATTAATATCCCTCTTAGCTCATGGATATATATATACCGGCTATTTTCAAACTGGGATTATCCCAAAATGAATTAAAGTTCAAAATTGTTCTTGACTCCCAACATCTTCCAAGTTTGCCCTGCAGCCTTTAGTGCTGGAAATTAAAAGCTCTAGGATGATTTGGGTGCTCGATCACTTGCGTTCCATTGAGAAATAAAAATGTAGGCCTAGTGATAAATCTGAAAGTCAGGTAAGTTAAAATGCCCATCATCATACAAAGACAGTAATTTAGATCAAAGAAACTTCAGGAGTTTGTTTTGCCCATAGAAACAGTCTTAATGACTTATCCATCTGCTTGAAATGCCTTTATGTAGCATTATTCTGTGTTTTGGAAATCTAACAAGACATTTCCAAAGGACCACCCTTCCATAGGAGATGGGAGGATGGTGGCCCATTGCTACCATCATCCCCAGCCCTGGGGCAGGGAATGATAGGAGATATAGTCAAGATGGGGCTGAATGTGCAAGACCATTTGCTCTGCTTTTGCTGGGATCACTCATCGATGTTTCTGTTTGTCTTCTCTTCCAGTTGGTGTCCATAAACCGAACATTGGTGGAAAGAGGGTTTGCACAGTGGGTCGAAAGCTACTAGCAAAGCCCTTAACCCATCTTCTGGACTGCTCTTTCCTCTTTTTCCCTGTCCCTCTGACTTCCTTTCCTGTTTTTGGCACTGTTTCAAAATTAGGATTTTGCAGTCCTTTCTCCCACCCCTTCCCCATGCACAAATCAGCCATTACTTCCACCAGTGATTTGTGATGAATGCATCTGACAAGACCACAGTTTGTATCGCATACCTCATTTTGTTGAAAGGCAGGGAGTTGTACCATAAGCCATTAAACAAAAACAAACTGCAGCTTTAAAACTTGGCTCTTCCCCTTTGGTCAAATGTCAAGTTATTAAAAAAAGAGAGACGAGAGCGAAGAGGGTTGTGCCCATTTGGCCGTGCATGGTTTAAAGCGTGTGTTGAACGTATCTCAATTTCCTAAAGTGACTGCTGCCTTGACATTAAACTGACTTGAAATTTAGGAGATAAAATTGATTCAGGCCACCAGAACCCCCCCCCCCGCCCCTTGATGAAATATTTGAAGCTTGGGAGATATTGGCATTTCCATGTTTCTAACAACAGAGGTAGCTGCCTTCCCTTTGATTCTAGGTAAGGCCACAGGCTCCTTGTGAGATTGTAACTTCATTTTTAATTAAGGCTTGGTTTGTGCGAGAAACAAGAATCCATCCGTTTTGCAGACCACCTTAAACAATGAGCTTAACTTTCAACCACTACAGCTGCCGCGTTTTTTAATTCCCAATCATGTCGAACCCACGAAGAAAAGACAAATTGAGCACCAAACCTGATTGTAAGACATAACTGTTTTCTAGCTGTTTGAAAAAACCTATGTAAATATATATAAAAATCATTGTAATATTTTGTACAAGAGGAAAAAAAAATACCGGAGAATTAAAAAGGGAACTTCAAACAAAATCATTTTTTTTTCCATATCAAAACGTCCTCTGTAGGGAGAAATAGTTGGGGTGTGTCAGTACACAGCTAAACCCTAGAAAGTGAAAGTTTTTCTGACCTTTGTATAGCATGGTTCTTTCCCTCTGCTTGCTGTATGGTAGGAAGAGTAATCAGCAAATTCTTGTTGCTTTTTTGCTGTACAGATCTGACTGAAAGGGGAAAAACAAGTAACATTTGGAATTAATATTGCAGTGGCGTCTTTTTTTTTTTTTTTGCTCCTTTTTAGATTGGTTTCAAATGTGGAATTAAAAAAAAATCAAGTAATTTAAGCTAATTTAATATTATTAAAATATAAATGAATTTAAAACATGGTTGTTGAGTTGGGCGTTATTATCGAAGGGAGAGAACGTAAAATTGTCTTGTATGTATGTCAACTCTATTACAGATTTTTCGAAGTGTCAGTCTTATACGGAACATGGAGTGTATGGCAAAATCTTCTTCCTCAAAAGCTGTAGAAAAAAAAAAATATTGTGTGAACCAGTCAACCTTTAAGATTTTCAGCAATTAAATGCCTCTAAATGTGAGGGACTAGTGTCATGGATTTCTTTTGTATTATTAAGGTGCTTGGTTAAAAGATTTGACCAGCTTTTTTTAACCAAGGCGTGCCCAGTGCATTTCAGAGATGTGCTTGCTTTTTCAGGAATTAATTTTTCACTGCTTTGTAAATAAAATTATAAATAGTTAAATGCAATAGAAATCAAAAAGTAGGTGGGGTAGAGTCCAGCCTGATGTTTGCAGAGTTCTGCTAGTGGAGATGGTTAGTTCCTCTAACTTGCCATCTGCAGGATACTTTCAAAATCTAGTTTGGTTCCTCTGCTATTAGAGGAAAGCCTTTGAACTGACCACAACACGTAATTGTGTTCAGAACATGTTTTACAGAGGAGTTCATAAATCTTTTTAGATGCATGATGAAGAGGAGGAGGATTCCTATCCTGAGCCACCCTTCTGAGCCACCGAGAGTTGTTTAAGATGGGCAGCCACATAGATCTTTTAAATAAAGAAAAATAAAATATCTAGCCTTTCCTATCAGCACTCAAGGCAGCTTCCATGGGAATCTGAAGATTTCCCTTCTCTTTCTGCAACAACAATCCTGTGAGATCAGTTGGGCTGAGAGAGGGTGATCAATCCAGTGTCACCCAATGTTTTTCCATGCCAAAGATTCAGCTGGAGCTGGGGTCTCCTGCTTCTTGTCCAGTAGATTACCCAACACTGTCTCTGCAGCCTTCAGAAGACACAGGAGTGAGGACTTTTTTTTAAGTCCTTCCATCCTTCCCTCTTTGATTTTTCTGCTTATTTTTTATTTTGCTGTTGGGGAGGTTTAGCAGAGGTTCAGCCTGTCCTTAAGTGACCCTGCTGACTTTCTTCAAAGTTTGGGGGTATTTCCTACAGTCCTGGGTTTTTCTAGTGGCCTCGCATCCAAGCCCTAACTAGATCTTGTTCAGCTTGGTGCTTCCATCTGCTGTGGGTTCTTCCAACTATGTCGGGCTTAGCAAATTAGAGCCATTCCGAGATACGTTTCTGCTTTTTCTGCGAACTTGGTTTCTTAAATGATCCTCTCAGAATCTTTGAGGCGAGTTAAATTATTAACTTAAAAGATTACCTAAGTTAAAGGATCACTTAAGCCAGTGTTTCTCAACCTCAGCACCTTTAAGATGTGTGGACTTCAACTCCCATGCTGACTGGGGAATTCTGGGAGTTGAAGTCTACGCATCTTAAGGTGCTGAGGCTGAGAAACATTGACCTAACCCTAGAGCTTTGCTCTTCTTAAAGATCCAGTTGGTTGTCACCAGGACCAGCCCCATGTGGGATCAGAATTTGTCTTCCTCTTTTAGGATGAGTCTGCACATGCCCAGGCCTAGGAGAAGTGACCTTGTTTGGCCATTGGGCACAAACAGAATTTTGAGAATGTTTATTTTGATTTTTTAATTGCCACAATCAAGATTCAAGAGTTTACAAAGGAAATCACCAAATCAGTCAGCATAAAACATCCACAGTGTAATGCAACCAGTAAGTTAGAGCAGTGAATGCAGTCACAAAATGGCTACCATAGGGTGAGTCACAAAACCCCCAGAACTAGAAAGCAAAGGGGTAAGATTGTATAGGGCCTCCCTACTTGTGGTGCCCTCCACACACCCCCAGCTAATGTTTAATTAGGAAAGGTTGAGAAAAACCAAAAAAACCATTATACTGTAGCCATAATGGTAGTTTATGCTCTTAAGGAGCTTGGTTCTCTGGATGGTGAGCTTTTGCACGCAAGAGGACACCCTACCAAGCAAAAATTATTAGGCTAAAAGTCCTAGATAGGGAGGGAGATTCCAGATAACCCTATGGCCCTTTCAACTGTGCACACAACATCTGTTTCAAGTACAAAATGTGGCTGACATCGATCAATTTGGACCTGTATGGAGAGTGGGCTGATTTCAGAACAAGGCTGATGTCAAGTTTGGACCACTTCCAAAAATGATTGAAACAACCTGTTTGGCACTCCGGATTCAGTTTTGTGGACAAGACAAGGTGTTTAGTGCTCAAAAGGAGCATTTGGAGCTGGGGATGTTTTGGGCTTCCTGCAGATGGTGAAATCAACCCAGAGTTCTCATCAAGGCACAAATGATCAGGCTCAAATTATCCTCCTTTGGACCCATGATGCAAAGACCCAGTTCTCTGGAGAAGGCGCTCATGCTGGTTAAGATGGAAGGAAAGAGAAGAAGAGGAGGACCAACAAGTGGATGGACTCAAGTTACAATGGCGATGGGAGCACAGTTGGGAGACCTGAAGGACCAGGTTGGGGATAGATCATCATGGAGAAAATCTCTGTGGAACTCTATACCTGGTTTTTAAAAGAGAGTAATCTATAGCATGCTTTGGTCAAACAGGAGTGGCATCTTGAGATAAGCCCTTCATCTGGAGAAGACCCCTGATTGTCTCTAAGGAAAAGACAAGTGTTGTGTGTTTTCCCTCTCCAGCCAGAGACCTCAAAGGCAAGAGTCACATCATCATGTCAGCTGGGTGCTTAATTATTCAAATAATCCTGGGGGGGGGGGTAGCAGAACCCTTTCCCAGAAACGTATTTTTGCACGCAAGATTAATTTAATATTTAACAAAGGGCTTTCTGACAACATAGGTTCATCTTTTTAAAAGCTCAAAAGGGAACTTGCCAAGTCTTTATGATCTCTAGAGAGCTATGGCTTTGACAGTATTTCCCTTCTCCCTTTGAATCCCCAGAAACAGTTTCTTGCTTCCTCCCTTCTAGCTTTTGCAGGCCTGGTTCACACAACCCTCTAAACCAGAATGTGGTCTGTTAGTTTGGTTTTAGTGGCTTGTTAGAACCTAGCAAGTGTGATTTATCAGCTGTGGTGAATAGATTAAGGCAGTGTTTCTCAACCTTGGCAGCTTGAAGATGTGTGGGCCTCCACCTCCCCAATTACCCCCCCACCCCACAACGGGGGGTGGAGGTTTTGGGGGTTGGAGGGCCCAATTTTTCTTTTACCATGTCGTGGTGAAATAG